TGTCATTTCTATTGAATAGCATTATTATTATTATTAGAAAAGACAGCCATATAGAGCTAGAACCGCTTTTAAAATAATTGGAAATTGATTAAGCTATTTCATAGTATAAGGATTAATAAGATAAAATTGACTTTTAGTTGAAGTTAGTAGTACTCTGTTATTATCCAGTAATCAATTAATAATGAATTCGTACAACAAATCTGCTTCCTGTTTGAGGAGCTGAATTGCATACCTAATAGTGGGTTATGCTATGTTTTAATTTTGTTAATATTACCTACATAAAGTATTTGTTATTTTTATCCCTATTAACCGTCTTTAAAGATACTTCTCTGATATCTATTGTGTCTATTTGTGATCACAGTCAACTAGTTTTACGTATTTACCTACCTAAAAACATGAAATACTTTCTCCATGAATCTATTTGTAGAACTTTTATTCGTTCCTTCAGTATTGTACGGCAAAGACTGTTGGATTTTAAATGGAAAGAGTTCTAATAATCTATTTTCGATTGTTCTTATAACTTCATTCACATCATAACAATAACTACAATCAAATAAATAAAGAGCACATATATAAACTAGAAATTAAAATTAATTATATCTGCAACTTCACATCTACTCTCTAATTTATATAAAATTTAGAAAGTTTTGTTGCACCTTAATGATCAGTTTTCCATTATACCGCAGCATAATGGTCTAATTAGCCTAAGTGGATCCCCTTGGAATCGGCGGTATAAACTTATCTTTCTTAACCTAATAAGTAGGTCTATATAATACCCTAATAATTCTTAACGAAATATTTTCCCATAAACAAATATTTAATTTTTCATTAAATGAGATACAAATAAAACACCCACTACTGACTATCACTTTTCCAAAATTTTCACCGATTTCCAACAAATTTCCGTAGAGAAATAGAATTTAATGCGTGTGTTTCCATTTATGCACGCTCATTACTTGAACCAATAAAATTGACAAAGGACCTGCGTTGTCTCACCATACTTTACCCTTTGATCAATTAATGTGCACACATTCCACTCCATAGCCTGCAAAGCAATTGCATTGCATTGCTGCATATGGAGGATTCTGAATTGTTTGTGTTGGTGAATGCGGAATGCGGACTGCGGATTGCAGATTATTGTCCTCGTATGCAGAATGTCATGGTTAATGCATTGTAGGCTCATTTGGTTACGCTAACACGAAACTATAGTCGACAAACAATAAATTTCATCCCCACAAATGTGCGTTGATTTAAGGACACAACTCAATGAAATGCCAAACATTGGCTTACAACGGTGTTGCAATCGTATATCCTTGCGTACTCGTTGTCAGGATTTAGGGAAATATTTTATGTTTCTAGTTGTAAGCCTCGATTTACACGCTTCTTAGTGTAAAATCGTAATTTTACACTAAATTTTTAAGGTACGTTTGAGTTTAATTACCTGCACGCGTTTGGCATCAATTAATTTTTATTTGATTTGATTTTTGTGGAAGTAACAAAGCTTGATTTTGTAATGTTTTGAAAAGGAAATTCTTAAATAGAAAATAAATAGATTTAAATGCGGACTTAATGTGGGAAAAATCATTTTACTTTTTCTTTGTTTTTCGGTTTCAGTTTTTGTACAATAGAAAATAAATAAAATTGAAGTTATACTGTTATGTTAGAAGTTATACCGGAGATCTGAAGGATACACTTAGTATAAGTGTATTGTTGGTACAATGCTGTACTACTCGTTAAACTTGAAACTATCTGGAAGCTATAAAATGCTCTTTACGGAATAGCGGTTAGAATTTTTCGTGTAAAGCATGCTTATCGGAAATGGCGACTACAATCCATTTGGCACCACCCTATATATTTTTGGAGTTTAACTGGTAGCATGTGAGTTTTCAACTATGATAACACACCAAAGGTGAAATTTGGTATCACGGATGTCGGGGCGCACACTCCTTTCAACTGAGATTGGCTCCTTTAATGAAAATATTGTGGTGGCTGTAATTGAAATCGAAAATTGTGAGAGTGGAACGATAGTTTTCATTACTTTCATTCGATGTGGAGTGCATTTTATAACCGGGTGCTGTATTCCAACGAACAACAGAGTTATTATATGGGTTTTCTACCGCGCTTTCTACCCAAAGAGAAAACTCTAACCAAACATATAGCTTCAATTGGTATCGGAGCATTTCATTGGACTTGGCATTATCATTGTAAATGTGTTAAGAACACTGTAGTGTTGCGGCTAAACGAGAGTTAATCACATTAAAAAACTATTGATTCTGTAATCTTCCTTAGTTCTCAACTATGAGTTTACTCTGCGACGAAGTGTCGTGTGGACAGTGAATATAGCTGACTATGACTGTGAAAAAGTTAAACAGGAGGAGTGTTATGCTTTATGCTTTGTGCCTTTTACATGATAACTAGTGTCTTAAAGCTAGAGAGTAGTGTTGTTGCTTTGGGTAAAAATTAGAGACTTTAGCAAGAGACTTATTACATTTTGCCTCATTTTGGAGTGACCGCATACAGCTAATATAGTTTATATATAAAAAATTTAAAGGTATGTGTTGACAAATATTGGAAAAAAGTTTTGGTAGCAACGGACTTCACTTTAAAAAAACTATTAGGAATACTCTAAATCTGTTCAGCTGAAAAATTTGATTTTGTTTTTTTAATTAATATTTTTAACTGAAAATATACATTACAAATCATTATATTTGTAGTCCCTACATATATTTATCTCGATATCTATTAAGTTTATAAACTCAAGAAAATTATGTTTTTTAAAAAAAGTGTACAAAACTTACTTTAGACATTTTAAGCTTAATTGTCTTTGAATTAAATTCATTTCATAAATTATTATTTTATTTTATTTATATATTTTTAAGTACTCTGTAATACTTATAAATGTGAAGATGCAGAAATAAATCACTTCATGCTCATCAAAATTCCAATAGTTAAAAGCAACAACAGTAACAAGAACAACGACAACACAAGAGAAATACTTTAGCAAACCCCATTTTATATTTTATTTAATTTTTTTTTTTGTTTTTTGTATGACCAACTTGACAGCGCCCTCTGCTTGTGCTTTGCAACTTAAGTAATAAATTACGGCAAGTTGCCATTTTGTTTTCTCTGTTTGTGATATTTTTATTTACTTTTATTATTTTTATTTGTATATTTTATTATTTTTTTTATTTTTTTTTTTTGCCTATTGCATACATTTGCAAATAAAATTTTGATTTATTTTTGCTGTACTTATTTTTTTTCGTATTATTTTTTTTTGTTATTTTTGTGAATTGCACAAGTGTTGCCTGCCCTCTTTCTTCTTTGCTAAAGCATTTTTCTTTAATTTTTTGTAGCAACTTTGAAATTATATTTCATGAGTTTGGGGGTGACTTCTTTAACAGTCGGTGGAGTTTATTTATGTAATGCTCTTTTAAATACGAAATGTAAAAAAAAACAACAACAATAATAACGGCAGCAGCAGCAGCTAAAGCAGTAAAAAGAACAAGCATCAGTGGCAACAGTATTTACGTATATTCGTATTTATAATTACTGCACATGCGTATTTAATAGTGAAGGTCTTTAGCGCTGGAGCAATGTCATGTCAATGAATGTACAGAGGGGCGCTGAAGGCATATACTATAGCCATTTTATAAAATAAAATATGGTGGCAGACGGAATACATAAATTTCAGTCAGTAAAATAGTAATAAATTTATTTTTTACTTATTTTCGTTTATATTTCATTTCTTTTTTGTTTTTGGTTAATCACATAAAATTTTATAACTTCAATGAGGAAAAAAATATGTATTTTTTTTCTAAGTAAACGAAAAAGTTTAAGAGGTTCAACAGCATTTGAAAGTTGAAATTTATGTTAATTTTTGTGAAAGAATATGTAATCCAGTTTGTTCTTAATTGAATTAGAAAATTTTTGAATTTAAAAAAAAATCAATATTTCTAAAATAAATAAATTAAATTATTGAGATATTATGTTAATTTATTGCTTTTTTCACTTTCTTTTCCATGGATCATATTATTTCGAAAGAAGGAAATGTCCTAACAAGACAAAATGAACGTAGCGCACTCTATTGACTTGTATATAGTCGTTCGCTAAGTCCAGCTATTGTTTCTTCTGCTTTAGTTGTTTTGTTTGAATACTGTCAAAAAAGGGTTAAAATTCTCAAATTAAATAAAGTCTTAAATTCCATTATAAAAAAAAGTAATAAGGTAGAATTTTTCGATTGAGCTTAAATAATACTGTTGAATTAGATTAAACCTATTGCTTGGTCCATTCTGTTAAGCTATATATCAGAAAATATTTCATGTATCGGCATACGTATTTTTCTAAACATTTAATCAGCTCTGAAATCTTTAATAGCATTTTCGATTTACTCAAAGTTGATCTGAGAATAACTTACGTTTTTTTTTTTCAATTTACTAAAAGCTCATTTAAAAATGTTTTAAATTTTTTACATACTGTACAGAAAAGATACTACAATCTTCAAAAAGAAAACTCCGCTACTTTTTAAAACAATTTTATTAGTGATTGAGGTAAAAACAGCCTTTCTAACTTTACTGTTCAGCCCAAAAATATAGCGATGTAATAATTAAGATGAAATTCGTTTTAAAATTTAATAGCAAAAATATAAAAATCTCGCTTTCTAACTCTACTATAAAGATCAACTGTTCAAATCGAAGTTACCATATAAGCTCAATTAAAGGTATGAGTTTGGCGTCAGTCTTGCTACACTATACTCTCGGTCACAAGTGAAATTTTTTTCTCATCTTACGCGAGCAGTTTTTTGTTAAATATATTCCTTCTGGCAGATATTACCGTTTTCTTTTTATTACTTAAGCCATTTTTAATTTCAACTCAGTCAAATTGTTTATTATTTTTAGAATCCATATTTAAAAGTAACTTTCCTAAATCTATTTTTCTTAAAAAACTATAAACTATATTAATATTTTCTTAATTAACAAAAAAAATCTTTTTTTCTCTTCCAGGTGTGGTTTAAAAATCGTCGTGCCAAATGGCGTAAACGTGAACGTAATGCTATGAATGCAGCTGTTGCTGCAGCTGATTTTAAATCCGGTTTTGGATCTCAATTTATGCAACCATTTGCTGATGATTCACTATATTCCTCATATCCATACAATAATTGGACAAAAGTACCTTCACCACTTGGTACAAAACCCTTCCCATGGCCAGTCAATCCACTTGGTTCAATGGTTACCACAAATCACCATCAAAATTCAGTGAATTGCTTTAATACTGGTGCCAGCGGTGTTGCTGTTAGCATGAATAACTCAATGTTACCAGGTACGATGGGCTCCACATTAACCAATTCAAATGTTGGGGCTGCACCCTGCCCTTATACAAATCCCGCTAATCCTTATATGTATCGTGCCGCAGCTGAACCTTGCATGACATCTAGCATGTCTTCCAGCATAGCTACGTTACGCTTAAAAGCGAAACAACATACAACCGGTTTCGCAAGTCCCTATTCAGCGCCTTCACCGGTTTCGAGATCCAATTCAGCAGGTCTGTCAGCATGTCAATATACTGGCGTTACTGATGTTGTTTGAGAAAACGCCCTCGGGGCTCTGCTCAATCAGCATCAGCACCATTTACAACATTTCTCTAGCGGCGGTAATGCATCAGTTGGACATAATTTGCATCATCTACACAACAATAACAACAACAATAATCTATTAAATAACAACCATTTGTTACTGGATCACAACGGTGGCGGCAGTAATGATAAATCACCACTTCATCATCAACAGAATGATTTAAGTGGTGGTAATGGTAGTGCTAATGGTTTAATGGGCCCAAATGGTACCAATGACAATGGCGAAGATGTAGAAGAAGTCATTGACTAAGATTGCTTACACATGCAATGGGTGTCTTAGACTTGATGCAATAAATAATATAAAATGAAATAATTTAAAAATAAAAATGAATGTATGGAAATTAAATTAAAATTTAATTGTTAATTGTAAAAACAAAAAATAATTAAATATATTAATGAATAAGAAATTTACATAAATGTAGCTAAAGCCTATGTAACTAAGCCAAAAATATTTGTATGTAAAATTGTTAGGAATCCCAAAGAACAATAACTACTCTTAAAAGAAGTTTGTAAAATTCTATGCTAGTTAATAACTTAACTTAAAAATTTATATAAATATTTAATAATTTTGCTTATTTACAAAAATTTTTACATTTTAGTTTGTTTTATTTGTTTTTTTTTTTAAATATTTCTCAACTTCAATAATTATTTTTTTATTATCTTTCTAAATTTTTATTAACTAAGAACTATAAGCTCTGTTGTATATAGATAAATAATAATTAAAATAAAAGTAAATATTAATATTTAATATAATAAATATAAATAAAAATTGCAGTTTAATATAAAAATAACTCTGTTGCAACTAAAATTAATTAAAAAAATAAAAAATAGAAACTTGAAATATCTACAAAAACGACATTATTCAAATTATTTTTTACAATTTTTTTTAATTTTTTTACAAAATAAATTATTAAAGTCATTCACCATTAATAATTTTTAACTATTATTTTCATGTATTTATGTATGCACTTTGATTGAACACAAATTTTTAAAAACCCTTGTAACTAAAAATGAAAATGAAATGTAAACAAATAAATATATATATCTTTCCAAATAAAAACAAAATATAAAAGTATATATAAATAAAAACCTTTAACCAAAGTATTTTATCAATGACAGTTTTTAAACAGTTGTCTAGTCGTATGAAAAATAGAATTAAAAACGCGAAAATTGCAAAAAAAACTTAATTAAAAAATCTATATAAAAATATTAAAATCAAATTATTATAATATATTCATAGTTTAAGGTAATATTAAATTTAAAAAAAAAGAAAAACAATTGAGAACAATAAAAATTCATAAAAACCTTCAATTAAAAAATATTTCGTTTAGATTTTATTCAGCTGTGGATATAGAATTTATCGAGAAGTGGAATATATAGTTGATCTCTTCAAGGTCTTGATGTTTGAGAACACATTTAATTCGATAGAGACGATTTTTTCAAATAATAATACTAATAATATAGAAGACTTAAAGTGTGAGAAAAGTAATGAGATTATCTTTACAGTCTTAGCAGTTACTAAGTACTAGGTTCATTACAATTAAAACCCAGAGTTTCATTTGATCTATGCGGTTTAAGACATTGCGAGATATATCATAATATTATTATATCATAATATTATTATATTATAGTATTATAATACTATATATTATATAGTATTACATATACTGTACACACATTTTGATATTTTGTGATTATATACGAATATTTTTAATTAAAATCCACAATAATATTAAAGGAAGTAAATACATTAAAATTTTAATAAGAAAAAATGTTTAATAATCAAATAATTTTATAAAATATTGAATTTAAAAATTTAGGAAGAATGGAATAAAATCAAACTATAAACGTGACTATAACAGCAAAATCTATTCATTAATATTATGATAATTATTCGAGTACATAAAAAATCTTGTTTTGAGGATATATTTTTAACCATGTTATTTTTATTAGACATTATACTAGTATCATATCTGTGTTAAAAAAGATTAAAGTGGCAACTTTGTGTCGAAATCCATTTGAGCTCAAATATTGCCTAGTTGTGATATTACGGACTAGCGCTTTATTATAGCTAGCTAGAAATAGTTAGCTAACTAAAGATAGCTAGCTACAATTCATCAACAATATACTGATTTAAATAAGTAGATCAATAGAAAATGTATAGGGCAAAGAATGAAAGAGAATATTCTGAACCATCAATGCAAGATATGAAATGTGAATATGAACACTGAGATTATCGAAGATTATTAAAGAGAAATAGCGGATTAAGAGTTTTAGAAAAAGAATTTCAGTTACTGATATCTTTGTAAAATATCGAAAAGAGATTTTTACTTTATAAATAGTTATACAGTCGAATAGTTTTTGGAGATTAGAGGTTTTAGATGTAATAAATTATGAAATTGTAGTTTAGATCAATTAAAAACAAAACTGATTGCCATCAAGCAAGCATTAAAAACTTATTTGAATATATAGATATAGGCTTGAAAGATACTGATACTACTATTCTGGTATTTAACAACCAGAATGGATCTAAAAACGAAACCAATATTTTGATATTGCCAATCTAATTGAACAAAATTTTGGTACTAAAACTTCAGAACATTGTAAAGTTTATAAATAATCATTACTTTTTCCAAGTCAAGTTATGAATACTTCTACCGCGATAGTACAAAATTTCGAACTTCATTATTATGATATATGTCATACATATAACCGATAGTGTTTATATTAATTAAGTCGCATCAAGCATAAAGACTGCAACTAATGCAAGCTTTGCTTAATTTGATTATTCTTAGATCTATTTAGACTTCGAGAACTGTCAATATTTTTATTTCCTGACTCAAATTGTTTTAGGTCTTTGCAATCTTTGCAACCTATTTAACTAAACAACTTCATTACTCTCAAATATAAGTCATATATTATTGGGTTGGGTTATCCATGCGTAGTAAACTGATGCTTACTTTTGGGCCTGTAACGTGGTGGGTTCCACAGCTCCAATAAAAATAAGGTGAAAGCCTCGGATAGGCGATGGATAGCTATTGATCGGACTGGCTGGTCTATAATGATCAACTAATTAAGTAAGTAAGCAGTGATGGTATGATAATACCACACTGATATTAACCTCATAGTACGTTTGTTGACGATTCACTGACGCTTTGAAAACAATTCTAAGATAATGAATATACTCTACAATTACAGTTACAGCAGTGAAAAAGTTAAAGAAAACGCTTCACATTAACTTCGTTATTATGTTGGGATTAACTTTTAGAGGATTTTCGTCATTTATAAGATCTCGCTTCAAGGAAGATTTAAGTGAACCCCTTGAAATCACGCTAGTAAACTAATACGGTTATTATTTTTCTGACCATTGACAAGGAATATATGTGTATGTAATATTGTATAAAGAGATGTTTCATATTTTTCCTATTCCTCTTTTAATATATCACCAAAACTTCGTAATATATGGAGTAAGTTTGAATTTTTCCCAAAAAAAATTTCTAATCTTCACTAATAAACATATTTTCAATTATCACAAAGCGAGTGATTAATTTTCCTCAGCATATATGATGAAAAAAATCCACTGTCAAACCGCACATGACACTATTCAAATTTAGCCGAACCTCCCTTGGACCATTGACTGCATGAGGTGAAGAATAATGAATGATTTTTCAGACCAAAAGAAATTAAAATCAAAATCAAATTGTAATTTATTTACCACAGAGTTAACTTGCATAAACGCCAAAGAAGAGAAACAACAACAAAACTCCTGATAGACGTGCCAATATAAATTTAATAGAAAAATTGATAACACCACTACAATCTGCATTTCAGTTTCGAAAAACCTAAACAACAGCATCACTGGGACTTAAAGTCATTTCTAGAGAAAGAAGCTGTCGGAAGCCGCAAACAAATTACATTTCTGTAGCGCACTTAATTACCTTAAATGGTTCAGTCTGCTTCAAATTATTTTTTTTTTTTTCGTTTTTCTTCTTACCACCACCACCACCATCAAAGTCATTCCTATTCAAAGCGTTTTGCACGAAACTGGTGCAGAATCCATCCATCAATTTATTCATTAGAATGAAATTATGTCGAATTTATATGCACCCCACCGCTGCAGCTACCCGAGCACAAAGTGTACGACCGACATAGAATGGGCCACATGTTTCTTGGCTCATTTCACTTTATATGATCGCCCTCGGTTCGCTGAGTAGAAAATCACCGCACAATAAAAATAATAATAAATATAAAAGAGGACAAGGCGTAGTGCCACTTTGTCTTCCTGTCTTACCGTTTCTACTACTGTTTGCACCGTCTATACCATTGTTTGCCTATGCAAAATAACTACGCATAGAGTTGCACTGCTTTTGGTTTAAGTATAGGTAAAATTTATATCAAATTCAGGGATGGTTTTTGTACTTCTTTCTTTTGCTATTAAAAAAAACTTGTTCAGTTATCCGCTACTGATTTTGTGGTAGGAACAACTAATAGGCCAATGTTGTGGTTCGAATCGTCGTGGCACAACAAAAACGGATATTCTCTGTATCCTGCTGTGTTGCATACAGAGCTAAGAAGGCATACAACAATAATTTGGTGAAATTAAATTTGCGAATAGGGTGCGTCGCTGTCGCGATTGCCAAAAAAAAACTATTTGAATATTTTTTTCTTATTTCTTGCCGAGCGTTAGAGGCATTGACTTGCCGTACATTAACTTTTTTGACACTTCTTCTTCTTACCGTTGCTCTTTTCATTTCTTCCAGGAAAGAGATTTTGATTTATCTTATTTATTTATTTATTATTATTATAACTTTTTTTATTTTGCTTGGAGCAACTCTAAGCTGTTGTAAATGTTTTAATAAGATTGATTTTATTGCCACTGCGTGGTTGAAGGGGTTGCTTCTGTAGATGTGGTGTGCTTGGTGTGCCAATTATATGTGTGTGTTCCAAAAGGGTTAATAAGTTGTTTTCCTGCTGTTTTAGGACTTTATTATATTCTGTTATATTATGCATTCCAACTGGGTAAATGTTTATTTCCGTGTAATTTACTTTTGTTTCCTTTTGAGTTGGTGCGTTCTCATTTCTATTGTTAAAGAAGTTAAATGAAATTAGCAATTAAATTGTTATTGCCATTTGGTCATAAGGTGATACCAACAAAAGTTCATACAAGTGAGAATTAAAGGAAACCATTTCTTTATCTGAAATATAACACATTGGCTGATAAGTCTTTATGATAACACGCTGGCAATGCTAGCAATAAAAAAAATTATATAAATTTTAAAAAGTAGCAATTTTCTAATGATATATGTCAAAATTACATGACTTTTGAACGAAAA